AGCAGGAGGAGCAGCAGGAGGAGCAGGAGGCGGAGTAGGATGAGTAGGATGAGTAGGAGCAGTAGAAGGAGGAGGAGCAGCAGTAGTAATAGTAGTAGACTTCTTAGTAGTAGTAGTAGTCGTCGTCGTCGTCGTCGTCGAAGTGGCAGGTGGTTGTCCTATTCCCAGTCCTAGTAGCCCATGGCCGGTAGCCAGTAGCGAGTAGACAGTAGCCAGGAGCAACGGCAGCAAGTAGTATGTAGTACCAAGTAGTACTATGAACTAATTAACTAATAGTAGTGCTATTTAGTACGAGGTAGTGCTAAGTAAAGCCGTACTGGGTTACTAGGTAAGTAGTAGTGAAGAGGAGTGTAATTAGTAGTAAGTCGTCGGAACCAGTCGTAGTAAGCAACACGTAGCAGTGTCAGTACCGTAGCGGAGGTCATGAAGGGTGGTAGGGATGGGAAAATCGCAAACACGATGCCCAACACGATCCAACACGACACTGTGAAGTTAACAAGCAGCAGGAGTCGTCTGTGGCCCGCCAGGTATTTGCCCTTTGTGGTGCCACTCGTGTTGCGAACTCAAGTCCAGAGACATTGTCGTAGATTCAAACCGTGGTTGGCTTTACGCTCGGAACGAGCAGCTTCGCTTCCTTATCCTTGGCTCAGCTTTTTCATCGACGTGTTGGTCGAGTGGCGCTTCATTGCTTTCTTTGGGCTGGCTGCGGTCCCAGCGGGTCCGTTACTGGCAGGGCTCCGGCTTCCTGCACCCTTAAGCATTTGAGCTTCCGGGGCGATCTCGCCTTCACTGACGGCAGAATTAGAAGGGCATCTTCGCGACGGGAAGGCCACTTCAGCCGTCGTGACGCTGCTGAACGAGGCATGGATCGGCTGATCCTGCAAGTTTACATTAGCAGCTTCTCCCATAAATATCTTGCAGGCGGTGTTCAAGCCAATCCTCAAGCAGCCTCGCCCAGAAGGGTCTGCGAATCGCAAGCCTGTCGCCTAGTTCCTGTCTTGAGCCTCTGAGATGCCATGTGCTGCCTACACAAGCCGAGGTTCAACGAAAAGACCGGAAGGTGGGAGATGAAACCTGGCATGCCTTCTGGGCATGTCGCAAATGCCGCCACGACGATGGCCAGAAGCTGAACAGAGATAAAGGATTTCGATACCAATAAGCTCCGATCAGCTGATCAACTGAGGTCTGGTGTTTGCTGGAGGCGAGGACCAGACCGCAGTACCTTGTAACGTGGCAGAGCATGGCATGAGGGGTCAGCAGCGACAGGTGGCTTTGCGAGGCTCCGGTTGCCAAATTCCGCCTTGCTTCGTGCGAGATGTGGTTCCCAATCTCCTTGTTATTGCAAAAGGGAACTATGATCAGGCCCAGGATTCGACGACCAGCCTTTCCTGACCACGAAGATCCTTTTGCTGATCTTAGTTTGCATGGGACCCGTCAGACTCTGAGATGCGAAGTCGAGTCGAGCCCGTGCTCCTCTGAGCATCTGAGGTTCCCTGGGCCAGGATTTACAACCAGGATCACAGCGAGGGGCTCAGTGAGGCCGTCGTCGAAGCGGAGCAGAGCTTCTCACGCCAGGCCTGGCCCAGTGCACTGTGGCAGGTATCATGGGCGTGGTGGCAGGCCGCTGCAGAAGCTTCGGTTTTTTCTTGGGCCTGTTTGCCCCGATAAGGCGTGTCTGCCTACTGGGTCCGAGTGACCTACTTTCCCTTGGGTCCAGGGCAGGCCTGGGTTTCGGCAGCCCTAGGCCCTAGTCCATGCAAATGCACGGATGCTGTGCAAGGAGTGGTGCTACAAGAAGCTGTGCTTGCTGGGCGGGACTTCAGTTCTAAGCTTGCGTTGGCTCGCTAAGCCTGGGTACGTTTGTGTTCCATGGGTGCTGGCCGTGCCTGTGTTGGTGCCCCGTTGCTACAGCTGCAGGAAGCCCTGGGACCCTTTCTTGGATGAGCCGAGTCTGGACGGTGGCGAGCTGGTCGCAAGCGCTGCTGTTGTCACCACCACCGTCGCACAGGTTCCTTGCTTGCTTGCTGGCTTGCTTTTTTGTTTGCTTGCTTGCGTACTTGCTTGCTGACACACAGACACGCATTGCACTGCAGTCAGTGCTGGCCAGGATGCATGCTAGGATGTGCCTTGTTCTGGTTGCCCAGAGCGTGTCAGGTCGCGCTGAAGGACCGCCTCTCGGAAGAGAGGGCAAAGCCCGCCTTGTGTTCGGCGAAAGTCAACCACCGTGCTGGCCAGGAAGCCGCCAAAGCTGCAGCAACCCACATCACGAGTGCGCTGAGTCTGGCGCTAAAGACTGCTTGATGTTTCCACGGTCCACCACTGCGACTGAGAGTAAAGAAGCTTTGGGTTTCTGCCCTTGATTTCTCTTGGTGCTGTCTCTGCCGAGGCAACAAGGCTGCAGACCGTCCTGTGGATCTCCCAAAAGATGACTCCAAGGACAACGGGGCGGTTGTGACCTATTTCCCCACGGCCCTTTCCAGTGCAGAGGGGCAGGAGGCAAATCCTCGGTCTTGAAGCTGTGGCCAGTGCGGATGTAGCAAAGGATAGGTCTGCGCTTGCAGCTGAGCGTTCTTGTCTGTCGCGCCCACAAGCAGGAGTTTGCCGATGCGGACGAGGCAAAAGCAGAAGCGAAGGCAAGACAGCTTCAAACATCTGTATGCAGTTACTCAATAGCCCAGCGACTTTCCACCAACGATTTGCAGAAAAGGTCCTTCCTGGAAAGGGGTCTTGACGTGATTCCGCAGCGTTCGGGAGGCAAGCGACCGGCTTCTGCGCCGCCTCCACCTGCGTGGTTCTGCCTAGCCAGTGCCTAGCTCAATTTCCAGGCCCTTCGCCCCGAATGGTATCCGAGTCAGTGAGCTAGAGCTTCCTCAAGGTTTGCGCATGGCTGCTGAGCATCGCGCTTGATCATTCTGGAGTGAACAGACTTCGCACCGAAGACGTTGTGAAATGTTTGCCTCCAGGGATCCTGTCGAGGCGGCAGAACAACCTCGTGTTCGCACGTGGATGGCACTCCATGGTAGTCAAGTACTTCTCAAAAAGTTAGAGGTGCCGCCGTTCTCATCAGGAGGGCTCCCACAAAAGCTAAAATTCAAAGTTTCTTGCGCTGGTTCGTTTTCGATCCAAAGGGCATCGGCACGAACGGACCGGCAGCTGCAACAAGTAAGGGCATCCATCACTCGCAAAAGCTAGGGTTGCCTCACATCGTCCTTGCCTCCACTTCTCTGCCAGATGTTAGCAGGATTTAGCAGTCCTCCCAGGAAAAAAGAGAGGACGCGTGTGCACGTGGACTTGTTTTTCCGCAGCTCAAGACACATTCAAAGATCTCGAAAAGATCTCGAAACTGCATCCCTGTAGACTGTAGACTGCCCTGCACGAACAGACAACCTTTCGGATCACGACAAGTTCCAGACAGACCAGTTTCAGCACTATGCTTCGCAGCTCAAGCCCCAGGGCAAATCTCTGATTCTTCAAAAGTACGAGTGCCACTGAAAGTCTTCAAACCTGCATGCCTACTACACTTGGCTATGAGCATCGGAGTGCGATGGAGACGCCGACACACAGCAAGTTCCGACACTCAGCGCGGCTTCGCAGTCATGGAGTCATGAATATCAGACGAGGTTCAATTGCTGGAAGAGAAGTCCCACACTTCAGCTTGGGCTCTACAGCAGGGTTAGCCATATTTCATTGGTTCATCAGTGTGCCACGCAGCGTGTCAAAGGTTCTTCCCCCATAAGCCAAGAAGTTGTTTAGAAACCATGTGAGAGCGAAGCGCGCCATGCTGCTGGAAGAGGCTCCAGTGGCCGTCGACTCGTTCAGTCATGAGCCTGGAGTGACCTTCTTTTGCAGCCATGCTCACGACGACCACCTGAAAGGGCTGAGCGGATCTTGGCGCCGTGGCCCCATCTATACATCACACGTCACGGCACGATTACTGAGTCGGCGCTGGCCACCGTTGGAGCCGTTTCTTAAGCCGCTAGAGATTGGGCCGGTGCATCGCATTCTCTTGGGCAGTGCTGGAGGCCTCGAGATCGAAGTGTGCTTGGTAGATGCCAACCACGTGCCAGGTTCTGTGATGTTCATATTCTCAGGATATTTTGGCACACTATTATACACTGGCGATTTCCGCTTGCATGACGATCATGTGCATCTGAGCGTTCTTCCCCTTCTCGCCCGACCCAATGCCGAACTCTCGCGAATTTTCCTGGACAACACATTTTGCCATCCTCAGTTCGCGCACGCGCCGCGGGCAGAAGTCTGCAAGGCAATCACAAAGCGCATAATCAGCAAGTGGCCCTGCATAGCTTTTGTAGTTGTTTACAAAATGGGCAAAGAGTCGCTACTGGCTCATTTGGCAAAGCGCCTCAAGACAGTCGTCCTGCTTCCCAAAGAGCGAATGCTGGTTGCAAAGGATCTCGGGCTGCATGGAAGCAACATACAGGAGCAACCCTGTAATCCGCAAAGCGCTGCAGCAGAGGAGCTGCGGCGTCGCAGCATGCAGGGCTGCATCTGGGCTGTTTCGCGCAGGAATGTTCGAAAAAGCCTCTGGCAAGCTACCGAATCGGGAGCTGCCGCGCACGCCATCGATCCATCTGGCTGGGCCGAGCTATCACGGAGTCAATATGTGCCTTGCTACGAGGATTCCCATACGGTCAGTGGGCAGACAGTTCCGGTATTTGTCAGTGATGATGGGGTTTCGCACTATCCTTATTCAGACCACTGCTCCTACCTTGAGCTGGTCCAATTTCTTTCCTGTTTGCCATCCGCTCCAGTGACCTTCATCGGACCACTGCCAAAGCCTGGACCGTTCGGTTACGATGGAGAGGTGGGTTTGCACAGGCTCCTGCACGAGGCTGGGGTGCCTTCCATCAAGTACTACCAGCAAGGCCGGTTTGGGAAGGCGCGGTCCGAACACATGTCTACACGAATCTCTCATGTCCCACCTGGCGTAGTCCTTTCTGTGTTTCTCTTGGGATTTGACAGGTTGATAGAAAGAGGGCGGCAGCGCGGACTCGCACAAAGCAAGCTTCTGATTTTGTATACACCTCTGCCGGCTCGAAGCACTGACCCCTCTTGTCATGTCTTGTCTCCACAGCGCATTCCAAAGGCCTCAGATGGCCCAGATTGCTCCAACGACATCTGAGCTGGCTGCCAAGCCGGTGGAAGAGCCACTGGCAAGAGCAATTACTTGTAGCCGCAGGGCAGTTTCCGTTCCACCAGCGCATCAGCTTAGGTGCTCTAATTCGACAAATCCACAGGATTTGAGTCTAGGTTCTAGCAAGCGTCTGAGGGGTGCACACCGATCCACCAAACGACACTGTTGCTTGAAGGAATGCGGGCAGGAGACAAGGCATGAAAGGCCAGACGATGCACTTTTGGCACTGGAGGTTCCGGCATCGCGCTGGCCGCTGTCTCCTGGGCAGCCGTCTTCGTAGCAGTGCAGCATTTGGCAGACGACTGTCTCTGCCGGACACCCTTCCGGCTGAGGTGCCCTTGCAAGACGGGTGGCAACCGCTGCCGAAAGGCAGGAACCTGCCGCCAGCCTGGAGGCAGTCAACGAAAGCGTGAAAGTCTCGCAGGATTGGTACAGCGACGAGGGATTCAACACCGAAGCAGCAGCCACAGTGCCGGACGACCGTGACTGAAAACCCACCCTTCGCATTCAGGGCACCATCGTGCACAAGCGATCGTGGAGCCACAAGAAGTGTACATCATTGGTGCAACATATCCGATCCCACAAGCACTGCCTAGACTGAAGCCAAGTATCTACATTAATCATCATAACTGAGCGAGTCCTCCAAGACTTGCTGCCGAAAGAGCTCCCGAACTCATGATCGCAGTTCGTTTCGGGATGACGTACATGATGACGTACATTGCGTGAAACTGCATTGCAGTGCCTTCCACTGCATGTCATTGCAGCACATTGCATTGTGTCGTACTGCATCGGCACATGACGCCATACACCACATACACACCTGTCTGTGGATGATGTACTCCAATTTTCGTTGTCATTCTGTCTAGAGACTAGCTTCTTCTAAATTTCGTCTAGAAACATATTCGATCCTGTGTACTAGATTGCTAGATGAGATGCATGTGTGCTATGCCATCGGTGGCCGTTTGCTTCATGTTGTGGAAGATCTCTGCATCGAAGTGCATCTGCAGCATGCTGCCCCCCTGAGCATCCTGCGGTTGTTGCTCGTTTCTTCTTTTTCCATTCGCCCAGGTCCAGGCGAGTCCTTCCCAACCCGCACCCGCTTGGCAGGTGCCTGAGAGGTTACCCTCACAACCACGGGATGTTTTCGAAGCAGCGCGGCTGCAGTGCTCAGGCCTTCGATGGCCTGGACGATCTCGAGGAGCAGAATCTTTGTTTCTGCCTATGGCTATATCAAAGAAATTATGTCCGTGCTTCCACACAGGAAGAGGAGGAAGAGCCGCTCACCGAGACCGGAACGGTTCCGAAGGCGAAATGTGCAAGGAAGCAGGTGACTCGCTCACTGCACTTCTATTTCATGCCCTAGGATCGAGCTTTGATACCTCGACCAGTCGGTAGCGGCTTTCAAAGTCTCGAAGATCTCTATGACAAGCATAGGCAGGTTTGATGCCCGCAAAAGAGCTGGTGAAGAGTTCATGGCATGGTCAGGGGTACCAAGAAGATCCCTGAGCTTGAGGAGGAGGCAACTGCTCTCATTCTCGCATTGATCTGCAGAGGGAGGGCTTTGTTGTTCAGGAGCTTGAAGAGTTGCACGTTGCTGCCCCGGCACCTGTGGAACTCTGAGGTAGGGCAGGGGAGCAGGGAACGCCCTTGCTGCAAGGTCCTGCTGAAGGATGAGATCCAAAGGTTTGGCGACCTGGAAAGAAGTGGCTGCCCAGTTCCACAGCCATCGGCTTGAGGTGTCCATCGATCTCGTCTGTTGCCTGGGCAGCCAAAGCGCTGGAGGAGTTGGAGCTCGAGGAGCCTGAATTGCATGAGGCAGCACCAGTTCTGGTGCAGATTGGTCAGGATGACGATGTCTTCGAAGTGATTGCAGAGAAGGTCTCTGCTGTAGCCTTGAGAGAGCCATGCCCGCACAAAGAAGTTCTTGAGGTGACGGATCAGGTGGACGAGCTTAGCCCACAGGAGACATGCACCAGCAGTGTGATCAGATCAGAGTGTGCTCTCAAGACGAGCCAGCTCCGGTCGAGGAGACTCTGGACATAGTGCTCAGGCCTGGCAGCTCACGAACCATTGTTGTTTGACGAACGGATTTACGTTCGCTGTGCAGCTTCGGGGCGATCTATTACAACGATGACGAGTGCCTCTGGCGAAAGTCCCGTCTCATTTCGTCGCGCTTGCACATGCTATCGCCAGGTTCTTGGAAACCCTCGTGGGTGCTGTTCGGAGGCAGATGAAATTCTTCACCAATGCTGAGGCAATGCTCTGCTATTGAGATTTTTTTGAGCCGGGTTGAAACCGTTCCTTTTTTTCTCTATATTTCCTGGAAGGTCGTCCGCCTGGCAAATGCCATGTCGCGTCTTGGTGGGCTGGATGACACGAAGCATGTAGGCCAGGATTTCGGCAGGTCAGCCCGCCACGAGCAAGCCAGAAGCTTTTGTTCCAAGAGAATCAGTGTGAGAGGCATGTTCTTTGAAATGCGAAAGCGCGTCAACATGCCCTTGATAGACAAGGCTATCAGGCTATCCGATCTCTTTTTGCCTCGTGGTGCCTGCTGCGAGGATCACTTCAACAGAAGCACCAGCCATGCTGCATCGCTCCTGGTTGGCCCCAGAAAGGTCATGTACCCTTCTCGAGGGTACTGTCGGGCTGTCGCAATGGGCGCAGCTTCAACTGTGGCCTAATAACGTAATACACCATGCCGAAGGCCAAAAGGGAAGGCCAAAGGAAACCTCTGCAGTACCTTGGTTCAGCAAAATATCAAACGCAAAAAAAAAAAGAAGCATGCTCTGCCATGGCCTCGACGCACTGCGCCTTCCCAGAGGCCGGAGAGGCCTCGAGAGATTCGAGGATTCTCTGATGCAAGACTCGTTGTACCTTGGAGGCTCAGGCCCAGCCTTCAAGCCTGAATGAGCTGCTTCCGACTGCGCCTCGGGAAAACCGCACTCTACCGTTGTTTCTTAGTGTCTCATGGAAAAGCACCGCTCTTTTTGAGGCTCCTGGCCCCGCACGCTGCCAGAGAGGCAGATGAGGCGCAACGAGCCGCCGCCTTGACGCAATGTCCAAGCATCCTGCGCCATGTTGCCAAGAGCTCAGCCACCAGTCAGTGCAGAACCTTGAGGCCAGCATCATTCTTCAACATGCAGCCCACGGTCCTCCCATCACAGTGCCTCGGCATTTGGACATATCTGGACAGTCTTGATGCAGGCTCGATGTACTTCTGCTCTCAGCGGCACAGGATGCGGACCTGGCGCAATGTGACGAGGAGGCTGCAGAGCAGCTCCGTGCATTGCAGATCCTGCAAGGCGGTGGCCTTACTAGTGCGACGTAGCAGACGGTGCTGGCGTCGTGAGCACAGCAAGCGGCCCAAAGAGAAAATGAAGAGCTGGTAGATCTGGTAGAGTGTAGATACCGCAATCATTGCAAAGAAAACCATACTGGAAAATGGCCTTCAGGTTCACGCTACACTTCTGGAAAACTCGTCCGGTTGCAGTAGCTGAATCACGAACAGCTTCCGTCTGCTTGATTCTCGTGCACCTGCCAGATTCGTTGTGATTTTCCAAGAGGTGTGCTGGGACACCGTGCGCCCGGTGCCGCACCATTGAGCAGCCATGCGCTAAGCCGCCAAGCGCCGCAGTAGGAGCACTGATTAAGAAAGGTGCCCCGAGTGGCCAGATGACTCTGACGTTCTTAATTTCAATGCGTTATCGAGGGTCTTGGGATGGTCCGGTACAAGCGTTCTTGTTCGCTTCTTGTTTCGGCACGGAGCTCAGATGCCATGCCAGACCCCCAAGTCGCGGTCAACAGCAGAAGCGAGTCCACCAATTGCCTGTCCTAGCATATTTCTGGGCGTGAGAGCCAGAAGCCACCTCAAGAGAAGACTTCAGAAAGCTCAGTACTTAGTTTGTCACGGCCTTGTGAAATTGGACTTGCAATGACTTGCACATCCACATTTAGTGTCAGTGTGCCAGTGTGTGTGTGTGTGTGTTGGAGTTATATTGTGGGTTGGAGGCTCCAGGTTTGGGTTTTGCAAATTCCAAACTGGATTTGAGGAGCCCTACTTCTAAACAAACAGTGAAGGCGCTGAGCAAGAATTTGGTGAATTTCGGAATTTCCAAAGAAATTGCTGTTTGCCCACTGTAGTTTCGCACACACCGCCGGGACCGCCACTGTGCCATCTTGGGCTCTCGGGTCACCTGCAGCGGTCACAGCACAAGCGACGGGGAGGCAGTTTTCCTGTCCGATGCGCCTCAGGGTAGGTGTCATTTGCACATGCCTCCTCTCGGTACGCTTTGGCTCTGGTCGCAGTGAGCCCGTGGAAGCTGCTGGTTTTCACGGATTACGGTTTGTGGTGCACAAAGGAACGGAAGGGCTCGGCGATCGTTTGCAACAGCTGCTGATGGTGCTGCGCTATGCGCGAGCCACAGGCCGCGCCTTGGTGCTGGATTGGAGGGATCCGAAATTCGCCCGTGATGGGGGCTTCAACTTCGAAGATTTCTTTCGTTTGCGGAAAGTACCCGTTTTCAATTCGAACGAGTTTCTATTTATCTGGCGAAGACTGCAACACCATCTGCAAGTGCGTCCGGCAATGTTTCGCCATCACCTCGACGTCATCACAGAAGCTCACTGGAACTTCTTGAAGTTTCCGGAGAACAATACCCGCATGAATGCTATTGCGAACGGCGATGCAGAGGACTACAGCGAAGAGGTCGTCGTCTTTGCGGGCGACCAGCACCGGTACTACCACTACGAAGAAATCGTGAACCTTAGACTCCGCCGATGGATGGCCGACAAAGTACGTGCCGACCCAAGCGGTAAGTCCTCTGTGACGGAACTGGGCTTTGTTCTGGGCGTGCTCTGTCGGTTCTGGGCTTTGGCTCTGGCCGCTGCTCAGGTCGGTACATGCTTCGGGAAGGACTCAAGAAGGAGGACTACGTGGTGGTGCACCTGCGAGGCGGAGACAAACCCTGGAAGTGTGAGGCACGTAGTCTTCATGTGGTACCGCATGAGCTGCTTCTAGGTCTTGGGTGCCCTTCCCATCAGTGCGAAGTCATGCGAAGTCCGAGGAAGCCGCCACGTGGTTCTACAAGCCGAATACAGAGAGATTCCAGACAGCCGCCAACAAGTGGCCTACGCTCGATGGTTACATTGAGTACATGAAGAAGGAGCTAGAGCGCACGAAACTGACTCTGAGAGTGGTGGTGGTCACAGACACTCCATGCAGGGCACCTAGTCGGGTCTCTCAGAGAATCTGATTGAAACAGTCAGTAGGGATGCACTGGATGCGAGGTCTGAAAGAAAGGTGGAACGAGCTCTGCACAGGTTCGCCACCCAGTCTTGGGAAGACGACGACGGTCAAAGCAAGCTGCGGGTTGATGAAGTCGTTTTTGGTCGTGTCTTCTTACGTATGTGGCTGCTGCCGTCGCTGTCAGCCATCGAAAACCTCTTTCGTAAAAAAGAGTGTCGATGGCGTCTGCAGCCAGCAGCAGGGTTGCATGACGGGTCCTTCTGGAATTTCCACGATGCTAGCATATGGTAGCACGCGTCGAGCATTGGGCGTGTGAAGGTTTTGCTTGCGAATATCGCTGAAATGCCTTTTGTGAAGGGTGCCGTGAAGCCCAAAAAAAGCGGCCGCTAAACGCCTCGCAAGGAAATTTGTTGAAGGTTACCGATTCGAGCTGCGACGACTGAGTCATTGGGAACCGAAATCTGCCTTGCTTTGACTCTCTGACATCATCGTCTTCGTCTACTTCGGAGGATTCTGCTCACCTCAAACGCTTGTTGCGGCACCTTGAACAATGGCATGTAGTTTCGGCCAGGAGGGCCAAGCCACAGATTTGCGGCGCGGCGCGCGAGAGATGAGAGTGGAAGAAACTGACAACGCAGGCTCACAATGGTTGGGACAAGCACCCGGTCACTCCCTTCAGGCTAGTCGAATCCTGCTTGGGGAAAGAGGAGTGCGCATGTTGGGTCCATGCCCTCGCGAATGGCGGATGCGTGGCCGAAGTGAGGGCCACAAAAAGCTGCTTTGGGGCTGGAGCTGTGCACTGAGCAGTCTGCATGTCCAAACTACAGACGCAGTGAAGGTGGGAGCTGTGCATCGGGCTCCATTCCAACAAGGCCAAAGCAACGGCAGCGCCGATTGATCGTTGCCAAGCTGTGATAAATTCTTCTAACTGTGCTGTCAAGAAACTTGAGTGGCTCCGCGCATCGAGCTATGCATGCCTTTGAGGAAAATTCGGTGCTGGATTTCGCCTTGATGAGCAGCTCGACTAACAACGGCTTCGCCTTTCCTCAGCTGCAGGGTTTGCTTTTGAACCTCTTCGCAAGCCTGTGAGCGGGAAGGGCATGTGCTCGTCCGTTGTAGCTACCTTGTGATATGCCAAATCACAACATCGTGTTTCACAGCAGTTGTGGTTCTGCTTGGACCACAGGCATGGCAGCCCGTGTCGCGGCAGCAATGCGTGTGTTGTGAGGCAGCAGGCTTCTTCAAAGCTCTACTCGGCGAGTAGCCGCCAGTCGAGAGCCAGTTATCCCAGGCGTCGTTGGAGATGGACATTCGCTCTTTGCAACTTGCCCAAGAAATCTGGGCAAACCGTTCGAGTTTAGTCTGTGGACATCCATGACGTTTTTGCATGCCCAAACAAACCGAACGTTGATTTAGATTTACTTTCCTCTCATCGCAGGCAACTATGGCCGAGAAGTGTCGTGCCACAGGCCGAAATGCATGCGATGAGAGTAGTGGCGTGTGCCCAAGACTCACAGGAAAGATGAACCTCCTGGGCCTTCACGACGAAGACGGGCCCTTCAAAGGCAGAGCCTGGAAATCAGATACTGTAGGAGCTTCCTCTTGGTTGCAGAGCTCCTGGAAAAGTTGTTTGAAGCAGGTTCAACACAAAGGCAGGCTTAGCACAAGACGAGCTGGTGCTCCGACCTTGCAAACCTCCCTGTCACAAGCGACACTGCTCAGACAAATAGCCACCAGCTTGTCAGGCATGCCACGCCGGTGCTAGACGGAGGCACTACGAGCCCCTCTCGTGCGTAGGATCCCATCTGGCGACCAAAACCGAAGCCTTGCTGAACCCTAAACAGTGCAGGTGCGCGCATGCACAAAATGCACATGCACATGATTATGCCAGCAGGTAAGTAACTTGTGAGACATGAAGACTTGAAGCAACAGAAAGCGCATCGCTTGGTAAACGCCTGGTTTGCACCTGCGCATGTGCAACAACTTGTCTTACCGTCCCCGCTCGGGCACGTGAAGGAAGTAGCGCGAACATTCAATAAATGTCGTCGCTGGCACGTGGACTTCGTGCATATACGCTAGGCAATCAGAAAACGTAGTAATGATCACTCAGAATGAGATGAGACCATCGCAGTGACTCCGTCCTTTGCAGCTCAGCTTCGAACCCGACAGGATGGGATCCGGACGAGTGGGAAGAGCTGTGACCTGTACGCGGCAGCAGAGCATTTCCGCAAGTCCAATGAGACCACGAAATACTGCAAGAAGCCCCTGCAGACAAAGGGTTTGTCGAATTGAGCTGGTGTCCTGGGGAAAATGCGGCGACTGCAGTGGCATGACGTGCGGGATTTTTCATGGCAGGCGTTCCGCTCGTGTCAGCTGTGGGTGTTGACGTCGCTGCTGGTGATGGGACATGCTGGGTTGCGTAGATCTCCGAGGAGTCGTTGACTTGTCGAGTTCGGTTCTGCTGCGCCAGGTTTGGAAACCTCGGCCCGGAAGCGGAGTAGCGGAGTAGCGTTGAGAAAATCCCTTCTCGAAACGATGGCAAGCTTTTTGGCGAGTGGGGTTTAAGTGAAGACGGACGGCCTTGCACCAGGCAGAGTCGAAGCCCTGAAACTCCAGAGCCCAAAAGAAGAGTTTACTATAGTTTATTCAAGCTGAAAGACTGAGGTGACCCATGGCTACCTGACACCGGAGTTTCGGACGAAGACGATCTTTGCCAAAGCTCCCTCCCAGGACGGGCATTTGGGGAACCTCTTGTCAAGGGTTGTTGTGGAAGCTCTGAATGAATTTCGGTTGGGAGACGGGTGACCACAGCTTACATATCGTGCGATCGGTCCCCGATTACTGATCCTCCCCACCACACGATCCGATCCACGGGGTGGGGTGGGGTTGTTCCTGCACTTTGCTGCTTGGCTGCCAAGCTGTGAAGCTCCAAGCTCGTTTTACTCGGTTCGCTGGTACGGCATAAGCAGCTAGACACTTTCATTCTTGGTGTCCCTTCCAAGGCAATGTCGCTCTTCTCCTGGTCGCTGTTAATCTTGCTACTGGTACGCCTGTTGTTGTCATTTACCATTGCCATTGGCACTGCCGCTCAATCCGAGCTTGAGTTCTCATTGGGACTTTGTGGAGTTCAGTGGACTGTGAGGAAGTCGCGATCATATGAACCGAAAAAGCAAGCATAACAGTCATCCCAGGCACTGTACCATAAGGAAGTGACCACAGCTACAAAGAGCCGACCCTCTTTTGGTTTGCTTGCTTTTTTGGAGGCTTGGGCTGTACATGTTCAGGTCTCCAACAAGCTGACAGCGGAGTGCACCACCCAGGAGCTTAAGTGTTCGCGCATGGACTCCTAAAGGTATGCCGACCTAAAAGCTACAGGTACCAGCTACTATAAGATAACCCGAATAAGAACCGCAAAGGTAAGGGCAAGTCTGCTTGTGACGTGTGCTAGTGCTGCTATTTCTTCGGCGGCTGCTGCTTCTGCTCTTACTGCTACTGCCACTGCCACTGCTACTGCCACTGCCACTGCCACTACCACTGCTACTGCCAGCGCCACTGCCACTGCCACTGCCACTGCCACTGCCACTGCTTCTGCTGCTGCAGCCACTGCTGCTACTGCTGCTGCTGCTTCTGCTGCTGCTGCTGCTGCTGCATCTACTGCTACTGTTACATCTGTTACTGCTCTCCTCGACGACGCAACGGCGACGACCACTACTACTCCTATTCAAGATAGTAGCAGAAAAAGTAGAGCGGTAGTAGTCGTCGTCGTAGTAGTAGTAGTAGTAGTAGCAGTAGTAGTGGTAGGATAGTAGTAGTAGTAGTAGTAGTAGCAGTAGTAGTGGTCGTGGTCGCTGTCGCCGTCGTCCTACGAGTAGTCATACTAGTACGAGAGAAGTCGCAATGGGAACTCTTGATTTAAGGTGGGGTTGAGGGTTGAGGTTAGGGTTTTAGGGTTTAGGGGGGGCCCAGAGTTGAGGGTTGAGGGTTGAGTTTTAGGGTTGCAGGGTTCAAAGGCTTCGTTTTAGCTTTTAAGTTCCTGGGCTTAGGTGCTTTACGCTTTAGGGCCCAAACCTTGAAATCGTTTAAGGTAGGGGCTTAGAGCCGAAACCCTCACCCTAAACCCTCAACAGTGAAACGAAAGCAGTAGCAAAACAAGATTGTTCTGTGGCGCTCGGATTATTGATAAGGGGGTTGCCTTGCCTGGGCTAGGTCTTTGCCGGCTTGAAAAACTGGGTGTTGTACATAGACCTTTGATTTAAAATTTCTTGCTTGGACACCTCTGGAATTTCTTCACTCCTGCCTTGTTCAGTCGCTGGGCGATGGGAGCACTAGTTCCAGAAACTTTAAACAGTGAAACGCCTAAACCCCTAAACCCGGAACCCCTGAACCCTTAAACCCCTAAAGCCTGAACCTGAAACCTTGAAAAAAGAGCTGGTCGCAAGGAGCACTGGTTCCAAAAGCCCTCAACCCTAAACCCCTGAACCCTTCAAACCCCCTAAACCCCTTCTAAGGCTGCAGGCAAGTTGGTTTCCGTTAGTCGGGGGGGGGGGGTCTGGTGGAAGTGGACAGCGCCTTTAGACCTTTAAAGCATGGTTTCAGCCATGTCCGAGGCCCGTGCGGGATGCCTTTAATCACGGGGGGGTTTATTAATCAAGAGTTGACATTACTAACGACTACGGCTGCCGCCACCGCCACAGCCATCACCACCGCCACCGCCACCACCACCACCACCACCACGACCACCACCACCACCACCACCACCACCACCACGACTAAAAGCTTCAACAGATGTGCAGCTGGGATCGGACATTGAAGACCTCGAGTGCTGTGCCAGTCCAGGCTCACCACGGATTGCTGTCCATGAGCTGGACGTACCATTGCCGAGGCATGGGGGCAGGAGTTGAAGTTTTGAAAAGGCTCTGTGCCGCGGCACTTGGGAAAGGCTGAAGATGTCCCTGCGACTTCTGGAGGCTGCTGACAGCCAGCAGGCAGGGCTGGAGGGCCATCCCAGAGCACGGCCATATACCCTTTGACGGTCATCCCGGAGCAGCAAATCCTGACAAGTTCATGTCGGAGATTTGCAAGTGCTGATTGTAGTTTTGCCGGAAGCAACCACTGCAAGAGCACCCTGCGTGAAGTGATGCTAGACCATGGCAGTAATTACACCTTTGCGTGCAATCGAGGCGACACGCAGCTTCAAGGAGCTTGGGCACGATGATCCATTTGGCTCCAAGGCGATGGTTCCGAGAGGGTTGAGCTCAGGATTGAAGGGTTTGTCAGGCCTGGCCCTCCGCGTACCTCGTTGCAGACAGGAGCTGCGTCTCACAGACTCAGTTCGAATGCAAAGCCTGTCGAGCCGCACAGGCTTCTTTCAGAAGATCTCCATGGCCGTTCTGCGGCAGCCTTTTGAGCCATGCTCCGTTCCATTCGATGCAAACTCAAGTATACAAAGAGGTGCTGGAGCTTGGCTGTGGAACAGGCGCGACACTCAGCTTCTTACGTTTGTTCATGCCTCCGAGCTCGTCACTGACACTGATTCCAGGCTTCGTGGCAATCGCTGCACTTCTAGGCTTGGTCAATTCGGGAGCGTCACCTGGGACACTTTCGTAATGTTAAGATTCAGGAGGTGCACGGTCCGTCCTTGCAACAGATCGGGCCAAGCTGTCGCGTGCTGAGATCACCTACCAGCTTCGCAGTGGGACCATCCCGCCTTCCCCTGTCAAGGAATGTCGACTCTGCACAACGGTCTGCCCACCTTAACGGCCTAGATCTCCAGGGTCAGGCTTGTGGCCCGTGGCCGTTGTGGGCTTATCGCTTCGGAGGGAAGTTCTGTGGCAGGTCTTTGACGTGACCTCGTCGGACTCCTTACCGCCGCGCGCCCGGACTCGGTGGCTGGTGGCCATGGCAGGTCAGCTGAAGTCTCAGAGCCAGGTCTCGAGGTGGCAAAGTCTTTGACTACGTTGCTGCGCTCTCAGAGCCCTCGGATTCAGACTCAAACATGGAGGCTCGCTGGTTTCAGGTATTTGCAGACGTGCTGTACTGGCCGGCAGAGGTCGGTGAAGTATCAGAGACCCTTTCAGGGGGACCCGCACCATGGGATTGGAGGCAGCTGCCTTTGGTCGGCGTGCAGCGGAAGCCTATGTCCAGGGGTTCACAGCTCAAGGTCTTGAGTTTCCAGCGATCCTCCATAATGTGTTCCTCGACTGCCAAGGTCTACCGTTATCATGGCAGATCCCGGGCGACGGCGCGAACAGTTTCTAGGCCGGGGGCAATGAGTTTCTAGGCCTGAACGATGATTTCCCAAGAGAGTTGGTTTGTTCCCTTTGCCAGGCGAGCTGCGTTCCGAGCTTGCGCTTCGTTTGGACACGGCCTCAGAGGGTCACTTTAGGGCCACCTCGCTGATCTTCGTCGGTGCATCGCGGCTGCTAAGGGAAGCCGGCCCCTTCCAACGATCAAGCCGGAGCCGACGGAATTTCCGGAGCATGCAACCGCCTCGGTGCAGTCTTCAAGATTTGATCTGCTACGATCGGGTAGTGTGCGAGAGTATGCAGCACTCGTTGAGGTGTGGAGTTGGGTGTCTGCGGAGGTGCATATGCCAGAGAGCAGAATCTCCAAACGACAGCTGCATGTTTCCTCCTGCGATACTAGTGAGGTTCGAACCGCTTCCTCCCTGTTCTGCCAGGCCGCAAGTGGTTGAACATGCTTTGCTGTCGGGATCATCTGTGAAATTAGCAGGCGCCTTTCGTTCTTGTCTTGCAACAAGCTCGACATTCCAAGGAGCGACTTCTAACAGCCGGGTCACGTTTCTGCATTCCGCAGTTGATTGTAAAGTCGCCGCATCAAAGCGCATGTTGCAGGTGCACTTCGAGATCGTCGACTAGTCCGTGAGACCCTCCTGCCCGGGAGATGCAGCAGTTTGCGCGACGCTGATCACCCCGATCAAGCTTGCCACCTGTACAGTGTGCTGCTGGACGCCTCTGGCCGCGAAAACAGCGAGACGGTACAACTTGTTCTGCCGATCAGGGTCTCACGTGGTGGAGTTGCAAAGTTGCACAGAAGCGTTGTGCAGGGAAAGGCTTCGTGCTGAAGCGACCTATCCCACTCCGACCGAGGCAGGTTCGACCGCACAGAAAGGATACGGTAGTAGGAATCGGAGAAGCTGTGGCAGCAGTAGTAGTCATCGTATCAGTGGTCGCAATATGATGATGACAATGATGATGGTGATGATGATGATGACGATGATCATCATCCTCATCATCAGCATCGGCTGAAGCAGGAAGACGCCGAAAGCATGCCACTGACTCCGCTTGTGTTGATTCTGTGAGGTGCTCTCCATGCTCAGAATCCTTGATAGAGATTCTTATGTCTGGGTCAATGTGGAAGTTTCAGACAGAGAGCACAGGGACTCACAGGGAAGCAGTCGGCGGAACACTTTGCAGAAGACTCTTGAACCCCGAACGCAGATGGCCAGGACATGAAGCAGCTCATCTCCAAGGTCAGGTTGCCGCAGAACAGCAGAGTGAAGAAGCAGGCGCGAGAATGCAGCATCCTCTTGCGCTGTTTTGCAGTTTTGTGAATCCATGTTCACTGCTGTGTCGGTGAGCAATTCGTTTGTGCGTGTCTTGTGGACACAAGCCGCCACTCCGGTGGTAAGAACTGTTTTGGCAGTGGGGGATCGCACGGAAGCTCCACGAAAGGACTAAATGGAAGCTGCCCCTACTGTAGTGGCAATATTGGAAGGCAATGGAGGGCGCCTGTGTGGGAGAACCGAGCATGTCCTCGACATCAACCTGACTTCTGAAACCGCACTGCACATCTGCTTGTGGACACCGAAAGGGCCGACCTAGACCGGGCTTACTGAGTCCGCTTTTGCAGGTACGGTTGTGACGATTTTGCTCGAGGGCAATAAATTTCGCGACCAAGCATCTCATGAACAGGGTAGTCAATTGACTTGGGCGTGAGTGCCGGAATGCTGGCAGTTCAAGTCCAAGATGGCCAAGCAGCTAACGCTGATGAAGTACACAGCGGAGGCCGAGGCTCGCCGAAGCACGGCTAGACAGGATCCCTTTAGCTGGGCGATGCCGCGCATAAGGCCCATAAGGGCAATGGCGCAGGCTGCAAAACAGGAGGAGATCGATCCAGAGCTGGTCAACGAAGGTCCAGACCTGCAGGAGCCTGTTTTAGTCAAGGCAGCTGTCCGAATTGAGAGCCAGAAATCCAGAAAATAATCTGCACGTAGTTCGTCTCAAGTTGCGCGGAGGACATCTTGGATGCCACCCCATGAGTGGATCGCAACGACGGATACCGCAGGTCAGGTCGCTGCATTATTTCCTGTAGTTTTTTTTCCCATGTTCAATTCGCGCAGCTGAATGCGAGACTCTAGATCACCCCTCCTTGCGCGCGTGCCACCTGCCTGCAAGCTCACCTTCCGTCAGAAACGTGAAGGACCTCTGTAGGAATGGCTGCGCAAATCAAGCCAGTTGGACCGTCCTGTTTATATGGTTCTGTTTGCGCATGCATTCTGGCTGTTCGCTCCGATTTCGCAGTGGCCCGTGTCTTGATCTGCTGACATCGTCGTGCCGGTGTGAGTGTCAAGTCGTGGTGGCAGGCGATATGGCGCAGAAAACTGCAAAACCCGCGTGCCAGCTCAATAGGCCTGTTTTCCCAGTCTGATGAAGAGCGAAGATGCAGGAAGCTTCTGCTGCTGGGCCTGAGCCGCTCGTCAGGCAAAGATCTGCAAGGCTTGGCTACTCCTGCCTTGTGTAACACCATATCCTACCCAGGTTCACGAGCTTGGCGCACGACCGAAGGCCAGCTTGAGAGCGAGGAAGCTGCGGAGCTCGTAAAAGAAGAGCTGTTGTTCGTTTGGGGTTCTTCTTGTGGTGGCCTGTTTGTGATTCTAACCGCACTTGCTCCCATGCTCGCTTGGCGAAAGCCGCTCACGGACTTTTCGCCGTCCGCTCCTGGCATCGAGCCAAACCTCTTGGAGGAAGGTGCTGCAAAGCCTTATGTTTCTTGCACCCATCGACAATGCCTAGATGTGCTGGGCCGACACCACCTTGAAGGTGCAATGCCGCTTCACAGCACCCATGTCTTTGCAAGACCCACGGCTGCAACGCTTGGTCAGAAGGCCAGTCTTCGGAAAAGTCAGCTTTCCCCACCACGGTTGAGGTCACATTGGCCATACCGGCAAAACGACGCTGGCATTTCAGATGTAAGCCCCTCTGCTTCTTGTTGACAAGGCCGCTGGCATAGCTGAATTGTGATTGGTGACAGGTCGACGTTCTATGCCAGCAAGCATCCAGAAGCCCGCGCCATGATCTTACAATCGTCAGACATGCTTTCTGCCTGATAGCTGCGACAACCTCATAGTGCTCAGGTTCTCATTATGGACCTCGCAGAAGAGGGCGCGACTAAGCTGATAAAGAACAACACGGGATACCCTCCTGCTTTCGGATTAAGAACCCATCGGCCGTGTCTTGCATGTGAGGACCTCACAAAGCGATTGCTTGGTGGTGTGGATGCTGCAGGGCGCAAGGCGGGTTTTGCGATTGCACTCGCGGCTTCAGAGTTGCATTGACGGGAGGTGGAGTCGCTGCGCGGCGCCAAGGTGTGTGTTTTTTACAGGTCATCGTCGCACTCATCCTCAACCTCCGCCTGTCATCCTAATGTCAATGCTCTCGGGCAAGATTTCTCCGAGTGTGACCATGACAGTGGTCGTGGTGACTGTCTTTGACATGAAGATGATGGTGATGCTTGACGCGATGTTGACGATGTCTAATGTCATGTTTGGTGGCGCTGGTGGATCTGGTGGTTGGTTGTGATGGTGCTGGTGGTGGCCGGCGGGGGTGGCTGTTTGGTATGATCGGATACGACATTGAAGCGATCAGGGTGGTCGTCCCTCTCCTCATCAAAATCAGCACCGATGGGCATCATCAGAAGTTTTGGAGCGAAGGTTTGGCGGAGTCTTTCGACTGCTCCAGGCCGCCGCAGTGCCCTTGGATTCTTCTGAGCTAGAATACCCCCCCAAAGCCCAACTTGTCACACATCGAAATCTAAGCCCTCAGGTCTTAAGCCTCATAAAAGCCGCCAAGTTCTGAGGAGAAGCGGCCTTCGGGGCTGACTAGCTGGCTCTGGTCCTCGACCTTCGATGTAACTTGGCCGACACTAGCACACAAGCTGCGCTTGGAGGGAGCCTTTTGCAGGGATCGGAAAAGTTCAGGTGCCTTGAAATCTGAACTCCTGCAAGACCAATTAGGGGCTCGGCTCCGTCAAGATCTGAAGTTCCGCGAGGTTATGGAGCATGCGGTACGACTCAAGGATCACAATCCTGCGGCACGGCTCTCTGTCCCCCATAAATGACATGGTTTCAGCTGCACTTGGCTATTGGCCCGCAGCTCCCTGACAACATCTTCCTGATTTCCAGTGGAGCATGGTCCGTACCCCAGCAAAAAGGCCTTCGTGCTTGAGCGCGCTCCCTCTGCTATTCTGAGGCCAAGAGCAGAGGCCCCCATGAGCGACGATGCTGGCACCTGAGAGGGCTACCAATATCCGCACATGTGAAGAGGGGCTGCTTGCACTCTTCAAGGTCAGGAAGGAGGTTTGCGAAAGAATACGAGACTCCCTCGAGAAGTGCGCCGATGTGCTTCCGTTCAGCACACTTTCGTGTAGAGTCTAACCCGGGTGGTTGCTGGGCCAGGTCTACAGAAACCTGGAAGCTGCTCCTCGCCCAGATCTTCGCGACCGATTACGTGTGGTCGAATTTGTGATTCAACAAGTGCAGTCGAGGCGATACTCGGGCCAGCATGGCCAGCAAGCTCCGACTGTGCTGAGGTTTTGCGACACAGACGGGGACCGGCGGCCTTCGCCAACGGCTCAGGACAACATTGTGGCCTGACCCATCATCATTTGCGCGTGAATGCGAGTCATTCCACGCCATCTGCAAGCCAGCATCAATGAAGTGATGACTGCATGTGAACACTCTGTTAGGCAGGATGCCTGTTGCAATCGCCAGTAGTACTGGCGTGCGACAGAGTTTGCAAACATGATGCTGTCAGAAAATAGCTTTCCGATGGTGTCGCTGTCAATCCCAACGTCAGTGGCATCAGCACAACACCAGGAGCGATCAGAATCGGAGCAGCCACACTTACAGCAACAATGCAAGCAAATGATTCCTGCGGGCTGCTGATTGATGCATGGTTCAGGCCGTACACGATGTTAGCTTACGGCCTGTGCGACGAGGACTTCCTGACATGCCACTGCTTTGCTGGATCATATTGGGAGTTGCAGAATGGCTGTACTGCCAGCAGCCAGTGTCATCAAACTTGATTCACAGCTCTAGAAATGCTAGGCCATCGTGCCACTCCACCTGAACAAGGGAGATCTTGCTCTTGCCCGAGATTATGCAGCCATAAAGCCAGTGTTCTTTGTGCTATGCAAGCTTTAAGGACAGGACAGAAACTATGCTGGGAGTCGCAGACTCGGTTCTTACAAGCCCTACCTTGAGGCTGTGCAGTTGCTTACATGTTGACGGTCTTTTGACGCAGGTCATGCACGAGCTGAGACAGCGAGGAGAGATCAGAACCCAGGCACGAAACTGGCACCCACTCGTACTCTCGTGCATGGAGACTTTGCCGAATCAAAGTTTGAAAGATAAAGAAATTCAAGTAGACCCCCATTTAGAAACTGACTTGCCGCTGGCTTGACAGGTTCTATTCATAGTGTGGAACTTTGTCAAGGTCCTGAAGGACAGACTCAAGACGAACATGCAATCAACATCGAGCCTACATGGAGACCTGTCTCGGCATGCGTTGCAGCATGGAGTAGCCTTCTGGTCCCCAAATCGGTAACAACGCAGTCTGCAATTTCTCGAAGTGCTGCGTGAGGACGATCCAGTAGAATACCACGGGATGACGCTGCCTTTCACGCCCACCAAGGTGCATCTTCAGAGCACAGTGAGCACTATCGAGAGCCAGAAGCTGCCCAGCAGGTGTGCATGGACATCTTGGAGTCATGCAACCGTCGCCTCTTTGGCAGCGCTACGGACCACCCATGTCCAAGCTTGCTTGACGTGTTCGTTGTCCCGCATCCAATGCCATGCGCGGCAGGAGCTTGCGGGGCTCTTCGTGCATTCCGGTGAGTCGGAGGTTCTTCTGCGCTCAACGCTTTGGTGTTTTTGTTGCCAAGCCTCAACTCAGACCGACTTCATCAAGAATTCCACGGCAGTGCTCAAAGTCTTGGCAGATAATGCATCACGGACGCACTGAGAAACCAGGGTTGAAGGCTTTGGGCAGATGCGTGCCTGTGAGAGCCTGCAAGGTGCTCAAGCCGTCTGAAGAGCTGGGTGTGCCGGTAGTGCGGGCTTCAGCTGGCCTTGAGCTGTGAACTTGACGATGCAGAACTGATCCTTGAGGTGGAGATGGTAAGCAGGCTCGCCGACAGTGGCAAAAAGACCATGAAGTGGGGAGCTTTGAAGTCCGGCTCGACAATCAGTGCCCGAAAAGCAAAAGCAAGGGATGTGCTGCCGAAACAAAGGTTCCAGAGTGGGGATATTGCCTACGACACAAAGGCCGCCTCTCCTTGGCGGGTTTTCGTAACTCTGCCCCATTTTCAGGGGGAGACCATCTCAAACGTGATGGATGGCTTGAAGCAGCTCGAGGAGAAGTTCGAGGTGAGCGGACACTGTTCGACACGAAAGCCCTGATTAAGAAGACCTGGCTAAGTCCCATCTCATCATTTCATCATCTCACCCCGTGGCGTGTGAGAAGGCCATGGCACTCGGCTGAGACCCCAAAATCCATGGCGCCGGTGGCCTTCTCGGCCCGATCACACATGCAGACTTGTGTCGGAACATGTTTCTGATTGTTTCTGATGCTGGGTCCCAGATTAGGCCCATGGCTGGCAATTTCTGTACGTGCTGAGCAACGGCTGCGTCTGAGACGGAGGCTGAAAGACCCGGCGAGAACAGAGCCCGTGTCTTGAGGCCGTGTTCGTGGTGCCCTGGCACATTCCTCCCAGGTCAGGATCAGACACCTGTGGATGCTGCAGGCAGTGCTAGTCTGTACAGCGACCAGTTCTGATGCATGCCTCGGCGGCAACGAATGCCACATCTTTTCGCTGACATCGCCTGAAGGGCCAACAAAATCCTTGATTTCTTTTTGTGGGCCTGGTACAGTAGGTGGATTATCGTAGGCCAGCATCAGGACGTGACCCTGGGTAGCACTTGCAGCTGGAACACGCAAGAATGCCGCAGCAACTTGCTCTTTTGGTTTTGATGGAAGCTGCAGCACTGCTCCGCAGGCCGCCACGAGTGCAACACATTATATGACGTTGAGTAGATACTGCTCAATACTATCCATACTGTAAACTATACTATATAACTTAAAGTTTGCAGCCACTCGCCGCACCAGGAAATCATGAACCTGGTCTGAGTCGATACGCGCAGCTGCCAAGTCAACCTTGCTTCCGCTCTCTGTCTCGGCTGCAGGTGATGGTTGTCCTATCTGCAACTTTGGAGGAGTCTGTCAGTCATGGAATTGACCTGCAGCCTGTTCGCATTTGAAGGGCTTGGCCGATGTCATGTTTCCTCGGTTTCACTCACTTATTCCCACGCAGAGCTCAAGTATGTAATGTAGGTGTTCTTGACATGAACGAGGAACACCAACGCCTTCCTACTGGTTCATGGCTGGACAGCTGGGCCACTCCTCCTAGAGTCCGCTGACAAGCTCCTTCCTGCTTGCCAATCGTCTAAGACTGTGGCAGAGCTGGCTGCCGAAACCGGCGCTAAGGAGGGACCGCTAGCCATCGTTTTGCGATGTTGTAGCGCGCTGGGCTACCTGGATTTCGACCCGGTGTCTAGCATCTCGGTCTTATAGCACGCGTTCTCTGATGTGTTGAACTGTTGAACCTTGTAATTAGAAGTAATGCACTTGCAGCGGTGTCTCAGCATTTGTCTCTCTCCTCCCGTCACTTTGGGCTCCAGGCCTTCAGCCAGCTTTGCACTCCAGACAAGGGATAGCTTTGCCTACGGCTTCGGCTGGCTTGGTCGGGTTGCATTCCATAGTGGCACCCGAGCCTGCGTTGCATGGTCCTTCGGCGGCTTTGGGCTACTCCGTGATCCAGCTTCGCGTCCTCTTTCTCTTTTTGCACGATTATTGGTTTCCCTGTAGGTTGGAAGCCCGGCTTTGAGGATTGAACTTCGTTGTTTGGAGATTTGGGGAGGCGGCTGCATTTGCAAGGGATCCATCGCTTTGTGGATCGAACTTACTCTGTGCCGCGATGGCAGAGAGGGAGGAGAGCACTGTAGCTTGGAGCCGGTGTCCCGTATGTGACGGCCCCCTTGTGACTTGGAGGGCGTTCAAAAGAGAGATGGCTTTTTGACCTGGAGGGCACGAAGAAGTACAGCCTGGCTGCCCGCTTCCTTTTGCAGCGTGGGGAGGAGGAGCTTATAGAAGTTCGGGCTCGCGATCCTGAAAGTGGCGAAGAATTCGTGCTGACACCTGAGGACCCTTTAACTGGACGGAATAAGTCTTGCAGGCCCTCAACGGTCAGTCTGTGTTGGATCGTCGAGGTGAACTTCGTACCGCTTTCTACCTGCACTTGGCAAGGCGGCCTTTGGAGAGGGTTGCTGATTGCTCTTCGAGGTTCCGGACGGCAGTCTCCGATCTTCGAGCTGAAGGTGTCAGGCTGCCCGACTCCGAGATCGGATGGTTCTACAAGGAGAAGCTGGGCCTCGACGCACTGAGGCGGCAACTTCTGCAGGCGGCAACACGATCGAAGCTGAGTGCTTGAGGCTTTTTCGTGACCTGCATAGCCAGGACCCTCGTCACCTGCGGCTGGAGCGGCTGGAAGCAAGCAAACTGACCATTCGCTGGATGTTCGGTGGTTCTTCCAGTTCAGCGGCCCCCTTTTCGGCGATCCTCGTTTTCATCGGCGGCGGGTTCACTGGCTGGTTCTAATGCTGCACGGCAGCCTTTTGCCAAACCGGCCAACACTGAGCAGACCGAGCCGGAGGTCCTTGAAGCCGAGGCGGGCGACGGCGACACGGGCGAGTTTGATGACGAAGCTGAGGCTGAGCAGGTTACGCTCGAGGAGCAGAACCTTGCGAAGGAGATCGCCCAGGCGGAGGAAGAAGGTGTTGACCCCGCCTTTTGCGAGGCCCTGGAAAGCGAGAAAGAAGCCTCGGCCGAGGCAGAAAGGCTCGGGTGAAGCTGGCGGAGGTTCGAAAGGATCGTGGCTGCAAGGGGGCACTTTGTCTTCGCAGGGCGGTGGAGGCAAGGCGTCATCCAAGGCCAGTGTGGCCGCGGCATCTGGTAAGCACGTTTGTTTCGATTGCTGGTCGGGGGATACAGAGTGCAAGAGACCGGGTGCTGGCCTGGGGCGCCCCAAGAACAAGGATGGTGGCTCTGAGGCGTAGGCGGCAGCGACCTTAACTGTAGATAAGGCTCTTGTTGGAGCTTTGGACTCTGCCTGCAATCGGACATGTGCTGGGGATGATTGGATAAAGGGCTACCTGAAGGAGCTTGAATAGGCGCCCCAGCACATGCAAGACCTGATTCTGATTTGCCTTGAGAAGGAAACCTTTAAGTTTGGCAACGGCGGGATCCTCCCGTCATTGACCAGGTACCGCCTTCCTGCCGTTGTCGAGCAACCGCATCGGGATCTGCATCTCTTCGGTGCCAGTGAGTTCGCTCGGCCTGACTTCCTTGATGGCTCGGCGGTGTGTTGGATTTTGAAGACAGGACAGTTGTTTGCAAGCTGCTCGGTGAAGGCCCAACAGCGCTGGAACTGCTCGCTGCTGGGCACTTGGCTTTGAGGCTGATTCCAGAGCGTTGGCCCGAGCTGTCAAAAGTGTGTTGGAGGAAGTTGGGGGTCCTTCGGCTCCCCCTCACGCTGTCCTTCGGGATCCCGATCTTCTGGTCGGCGCACGGTGGGCCAGGCTGGCACTTCGAGCTGTGGCTCGGTTCGATTGGAGCCGAAGGAGTGAGTAAGACTTTAGTGCGTAAAGCACCTGGGGCTGCGCTGGCTGCCCTTTCTTGTCCCTGAGTTTGCTCGGCGCAGCAATGGCAGTTGCAAGTCCAGGGCATGGTGGCGAGCGGATGTTACCCTCGATGCTGGCTGGGGCGTGGAGCCTATTCCCAGGCCAACCTTCAGTTGATGACCTGCTTTGGAAATCGAGTCGGTCTTCGCTTCGCCTAAATGCCGAGGACCTTGTACTCTCGGGGATGTTGGCGGCGAGGCGTCAGCCTGGCAGGTCCCAACATGTCAACGTGGCTGCGATGAAGGAGGAGGCGCCTTGGCTGCCAAGGAGAGCGGCCGTTTGAAGGTTGCCCTCTCTCTTGGGACCGGTGACTGCCCACTCTCGAGGGCGACCTCAGGCACTGTTGCATGTCGATGGAGGACACAAGGACACCGTGAAGACCGACCCGTCGCGACCGCATGAAGCCGACGATCGCAGCTCTATGTGCCAAGGTTCCCGCGCAGGTGGCAAGATCGTCGACGATCTCGACGAGCGACTTTGCCGGGCACTACGACTTGACTGTCGAACCCACATCGGCCCCGGGCGACCTTCGACGCCAGCCTCGTTCAGGAGTACGGAGTACATTGCCCGGAGCAGGTGCCGAGCCGAGCAGCGCATTGCAAAGTCAATCCACACTGAAACCGGAGGAGTTGCAAGCTGGCATTCTACAGGCCGGACCAGAGCTTTCAAGAGCTCGGACAGCGTCACGAGACCATGCTCGCGCAAGTCCTCACCCACATCATGCAGATGCAGAGCGTGGCGCCGGTGCGGATGAACGTTCCGGACGAGGAGATTGTGGGAGGGCCGGGCCAACTTCGGGACGAGCCAGAGTTCAGCAGCTTGCCCCACGGCAGATGGTGCAACAGGCTTGGGACAAATATCGGCGAGACCAGCTGTTGATTTCTTGTACCCCAGCCTCGTTGCGGGAAACGCTGGCGACCAAGCACATAATGAACTACAAGCGTGCGATTCGAGAGGTGTTTGTGGCCGAAAGCCTTTTGTTGCGCACCGCCGGCTTGGGGGGTTAACAACTCTATTGGTAGATGTGCCAGGGTTCATGGGCACACCACTTTTCGTCGGGCTGAGCACCGGGATGCGGCTATTCGTTTGGGGCAAAAGGACAAGCCGTACTTCATTGTGCTGCCCGTGCCCTCCGAGCCTTGGATGTTCGCTTCGTCCCGGACAACTTCTCGCGACCGACGGCGGCAACAACTTCATGCACTACTGCCCTCGCTGCGCTTCGCTTGACCCGCCTACAGCTTTGGGGGGGAGGAACCTCGAACACCCGCTTTCTGACCCTCGCTGTACAAAGCTTCACCGCTGACTTCAGCAAATTTGGCTCTGTGACTCAGGACCTGCATCGCAAGCGACTGCCTCCGACCCGGCTTTTGACCTCGAGTCAGGCGGTTGTGTGCCGCTTCTTGCCGCCACGGCCGAGCTACGTGGCAAGATCCGGGTGTGTCATCATGTCGATTCCCACGGTGGCCTCGACAATGTCCATGAGACCCTGGCGGGTGAGGATGAGACCGGCGAGCTGAGCGACTCAAACGACGAGGCTCAGCCGCCCTTCCTTGGGAAGATTTCGTCGGAAACGCGTGTACATCAGGCAACTGGGCACCGACCTCCAAATCGATTTGCCCGCATGCTTCTGTCTGTGGCGCCTCCGGCGGCTGTACAAGCTGCTCGAGAACTCGTTGTGACGTTTGTCTCGAAAGGAGCCGGCCCAAATCACACAGGGTTGCCAGTTTGCCTGCTCCCCGGGCCGTTGGAGAACGAATGCACCTGGACCTCCTGTTTGCTGAAGATGGGCATGTGCACATCGTCGTTCGTGCCACTGATGCGGTCTCTGGATTTCAGCTTGCTGCCGTTCTTCCCGACCGTCGTCGAGCTCAGTGATAGACTTTGTGACTAGGCTGTTGTGGCCGATGCTGCGGGCCCCGAGGCCTGTGAGGATAGCTTTGTTTACGGCTTCGCCTTGCGCAGGCTTAGTCGGGCTGCATTCCATAGACCTAGATAGCATACGTTCTCTGATACGTTGAACCTGCCGACGTAAATCAGCACACTCCACGTGTCTGACTCTGCGGCACCGAGGAACTTATGCAGCCTCGCATGGTGAAGAGCTTCAGGAGCTTCTTTCCTACTTGGAGCCAACCTCCACAGCCAGCAAGCAGCTTCGGCGAATCTACTCCGAGGCGAAGCCTCCCTTTCCGATCCCATCCGATGCTTCCAAGCTCTGTATAAAAATTTGGAAGGACATCAGGCCTAGCTGGAAGGCATCCAAAAGCAAGGCCCTGGGCATTCTGTTTGACGGCATCGTGCTGGTACCACTGCTCACATCCATCACATACAATGCCAGATGGAATGCCCAGGGACTGGATATGGGACGTGAAAAGGCTTTTGACAACATAGATTTTCAAGCCCTGGATGCAGCATGTTGCGAGGCATTGAAAGGCATTTTCGAGGAGCTGGCGATCGGGAGTGTGGATCCGAAAGGCATCGTCTCAATTTCTTCCAAGGGGCATTTGGCCTTGCAGAGAGCCTACTCCTACTACGTGCCCGCTTCCTATTCTCCACTGCTGTCACACTTCCGTGAAGTTCTCTACTCAGATCCTGGGTGGGGTTTCGCAGGGGAGCTTGATCCTGATGATGGCGAGATCCATGTGGAAAGAACACTGAACGTGGTTGGAAGTGGAGCGCAGCACACGACTTTGTTCAAGGATTTACTAGGTCACGTGCACAAGGTGTTCGACAATGACAAGTTCGAAGCGCAGCCCAAGTTTGTCATTGACACTGGCTGCGGCGATGGCCATTTGTTGCACACCATCTACGCCCACGTGAAAGATCGCACTGCTCGAGGGAAGGTCCTGGAAGAGCACCCGCTGACCATGATCGGCGTAGACTTCAATGAGAAGTCACGCGTGGCCACTGCCTGCAATTTAGAGGAGCACAAAGTTCCACACCGTGTCATCGCCGGCGACATCGGCAAGCCGGCTGCTTTGATGACTCAGCTCAAGCGAAAGAAGGTGGATCCGAACAAAGCATTGCATGTCCGATCCTTTTTGGATCATGACCGACCGTACATTGCAGCCAAAGCTTCCATAGATCCAGACACCGCTCTTGCTGCCTTTGCCCTGGCAGAGTTGGCAGACTTTGTCCACTTGGATAAAGAAGGAAATTCGATCCCCCCGTTGGAGCTTTTCGCATCTTTGGTCGAGCATATGGCTCGATGGGCAGATGCCTTGCAGGGTTCGCACGGTCTTTGCATGTTGGAGGTCATGCAGCTGGACGTTCCCACCACGAAGCGTTTCCTGAACGACTGTGTCTCTTTCCATTTTGATATTGTCCAAGGCCTCTCTCGGCAGTACATGGTTTCGGCGGTGTCCTTCGCGATGAGCTGCGCCATGGCGGGACTGTTCCCGACCGACTTCAAATCTGTTCAGGCCTATCCGGAGCAGGGGCGCTACTGTCGCATGATGAACCAGCACTTGGTAAAGAAGCCATATGTGATCCGGCTGGCCGAAGTATCTGACCTTGAGAAACTTCAATCCCTCGAAGCAAAGGCCTGGGCTACTGGCCTTCGCGCCAGCCCCGAGGTTCTGAAGGCGCGGCTTGAAAAGGCACCGACGGGGAACTTTGTATGTGTGGTGGACGGGGAAGTCGTGGCCGTCTTGTACACGCAGCGTGTGCCAGCGGTGAGTGCTGTCGACTCCCAACGCTTCATGGAGGTTTCTGCTTCGCACGATCCCAAAGGCCGTGTGCTTCAGTTGATCGCAATCAGCGCAGACCCTGAGACGAAGGTGGTGGGAGTCGGATCCGATCTGCGCTCATTTGCGCTACTGCTTGCCAAATTGGATCCTACCGTGGACACCGTCATTGGGGTTACTCGTTGCAGCAACTACTCCGCTGACAGCGGCGTTGATGTGGCAGGCTATGTCACTGGCCATGTTCAGGGAAAGCACGCTGATAAGACCCTGGGATTCCACACTGGATACGGGGCTCGCATTGCTCGCCCTGTTCCTGGCTTTCGGCCAGAAGATGCTGATAATGGGGGCGTTGGAGTCTTGATCCAGTACGACATCAAGAGCTGGACCGTGTCGCACATGGACCTTGGGACTCAAAGCAACACCAACGGCCAGCACAAGACGACAGAGAAAGCAGCGACTGCCCTGGAAGCACTCTGTGAGATCATGGCAGAGATGAAGCACCCCGTGAAAGATGACGAGCTTGGGCTGGGTTTCTTCAATTTGGGTATCGACTCACTTGAGATGGTACGCATTCGCAACCAGCACCTCGGTCAAAAATGATAGTCACCGCTAGTCCCTTCCCTTCGACCCAATTCCGATGCAGCACCACATCCTGAAGGAAGGTCAAGCAGACTGCAATCCATCCTGCTACGTGCCATTCCACCCCGTGTCGCGAATCCCACTACGGGTCCGCGTGAGCATATCCTTGGAAGCTAGGTTAGCCTTGAAGGCCTGAGGTAGCGAAGACACACGCACACAGGCAGAGAGACTAGGCTAGGCTTGAAGTTGTCTTACAGGTTATCTGCCTGGATCGGGCGAGAGCTTCCAGCCACCTTCCTGCTGGACTTTCCGAGTGTCCAAGAAGCCGCAGCAGAGCTGCAGAAGCAGAACGGCAAGGCTGATGGCAAGAAGACTTCAGCCTTAGAGGTCATCTGTGAGGCAACGACCGGGGGGGTCATGCAAGCTCTGTGCGACAGGGGTTGCAAGAACTTCGGAGTTTCTTTTTCGGTCAGATCCATGAGTTTCCGGCTCGGAGCATCGAGTCATGCCGCCGGAACTGGAGGTCATGGCGGACATGCAGCATCCTCTTTCCGAGGATCAGCTTTCTCTTGGTTTTTTTGTGCTGGGCATCGATTCGTTGGAGATGATTCGCATCAAGAACAAGTCGCTAGGCCAGCCAGGCAGTTAGATTCGATTTCTAGTGGTCGCAGATTTCGCTCCGCAGGCAAACTAAAGCAACAGTCCAGTTGAGGCTCAGCCAGTGGCTTGGAGAGGAGCTTCCGGCGACTTTCCTCCTGGACTACCCCAGCGTCCGAGAGCTGGCCGTGGAAGTGGACAAACTGGTCGCAAAGAGCCAGGACGTCAACGGAACTGAGGCTCCGACAGAAGCGGCCATTCTGGACCTGGACTTGCTGGTTCAGGCAGGAAGTGGTGTTTTCTGCTGGCCTTAAACACTGAGAAGCTCTTGAAGGCCCACTGCTGGTTTGTTTCCGTGTGATGTGTCAGGTACAGGAGAAGCTCAAGAAGACGTTTTCGCTCCCGCAGAACCAGAAGAAAGTCTCCGCTTTGGTCTCGAAACATACTGGCGATAAAGCTGCGTATACCAAGGCCATCGAGGCGTTAGTAGCGGAAGTTGAGGCGGGGTCAACAACACCAGCCTTTCAGTCGGCATGACGGGACATGCGACATGTTAGCGTTCATCATCACTGTAATCAGACAGTGATGGCGCACATGTTTCTATACATGCATTTATACACATATACTAACTGTACATATACATGCACACGCAAACACATGGTCCTAAGCTGATCAGGTATTACAATGTATTACATCCACCCAATTATCCAAGAGATTCCTGCCCTGAGTTGCGACACTTCTGTAATTATCAAAAACACATTTAAAGTTCCCAAAGTTCCGAGATTTCCCAAATGCACAACACTTTCAACATGTCCAAAACTTCCAACATTCCAAAAAATCAGACTTCAAGATTCCGAAACGTTAACCTTTATGTTTTGGATTATCGTGTGTACTAGGTTTTGACAGTTTGGAATTTGGGGAGAGTTTAGACATTCGAGTTAACAAATTCCAAGATTCCCAAAAAGTTCGCGTCCCTATGTGTTACATTATCGGGTGTAGTCAATTCTGACATGTTTTCGACATGTTGGGATGTTTGGAACCTTTCCGAGCTTTCGGAGATAGGAAGGTTGGTTTGAACTTTGGAAGTCTCCAGGCCACCAGAAAGTTTGGGGCGAGGTCTTGAGAAACCTAAACCACCACCTTGTTGTAGCTGTGGTAGCAATTTCTTATCCGACTGCTACTCATAAGTTACTATCCACTCAAACAATACTTGCGAACATAAGTTCTAGACTGAAGCTCAAACAAGCAATGTCCCAAAATATACAGCGTTGGCAAGATTTTGCGGCAGTGTCATTATGTGCATAGTGTCTGTTTGTTGATGTCGACCTACTCGTTATGTATCTGCAGCATTCAGCCGATGTTTAGACTCAGACGCTGTATTTACGTCACATGGTGCTGGTGAGTCATATGTCAACGAATTTCTCTAAATTTCGTACATAACTAGGAGTGTGCAACTGCAATTGCAGTGGCAAAACATGCCATTTCAGCGCGCACGTACTTGTTGACCAGATATTTCTCACGTAACGCTTATAGGATTCCAACCCTTCCTTAAGTAACACCTACTCTACACCTATGGACATGATTCGGTATTGGTGAATGTTGGTAATGAAATCATTGCAGTCATAATGCCTACGTAGGCAATCATACAAGAAGTAGTAGCTAAGCCTCAGCTGAAGTTTAGAGACTGCCGCTGTTTTGATTGAGAGGGAGAGACGAATAAAGACGACATGGAAAACACATATTCATCAATAATACAACATTTTGTATGCATTGTCCCAGTATTTCCTGTATGAATCGTACAGCTTTCAGCATCCAGCACGCTGCTGCTGCTGCTGCTGCTGCTGATGCTGCTGCTGGGTCCCAGTTTGAAGCCTCAGAGTACAGCTTGCAACTTGCCCGTGCCAAGCTTCAGGTAGGACGTCAGAGGATGCTGCAACCGAAAGTTCTAGGAGCCCTGCATTGGGTGAATCATCACGGAAAGACTAACTAACTTAAGCTAGGAATTAAGTGAAATCTGGTCAAGTGTCAGCATTTTATGGTTGAATTGTCATTACATGGACATTGCATAGTAGCATTCATCTGTAACTGATTATCACTGAGAACGATGTCTACGTCAGCCAGCAGGTTCTGATTATATACACATGAAGCTTCTGGTTTTCTGTCAACATAGAATATTGAATGCATTCACAGTAGCTCGAATATTGAATGTGCATCAAGTAGCTGCGAGTTGAAACATACTCCCCTTTTTGAACGGCAGTTAGGCGATGTGAAACGTTCTTACAATTGAATAACCCGCTTCTACAAACAAGCAAATACAAACTATACACAAGCCTGTGCTGCATATGGTGCACATATTCGGCGGTAAGCATTGTTCAGTCAAATCTAGATCGTCAGTTATCTTGCATATGAAGACGTCATGATTCCACATCTGCTGAAGTAGTAACAAAAACAGTTATCGAAGTGGACACTCAACTAAGCTGCACGCCAAACAGATGGGAAAGAAGCATTCGCCGCTTGTTATGTTTTCCGGCTCTTAATGCATACAGCCTGACAAGCTTGTGACATGCGTGCTCATTACACCGGTCTACTAGGGAAATGATAACGATGCAGATGGTGATGACTGTCCTAATTATAGGGAGCCGATTATGATACACATTATGCTTTGGACCAACACTGGTGGCCAGTAAATGCCAATACTTTAAAAGGTATCCTAAAAGAGGGGATTTCTTCGGATTATGGAGGGGGTCAGAACACGCATCATATATATATATACATGTGTAAATAAACAAAATAAATAAATATAAATAAAATACATACATAGATATTGTGTCACTACGAGGTTATATGGAGACTTTAAGATTCAGGCTGCCGATGTACAAACTACCCGACAGGTGCGATTTCTTCCGTGGTGTTGCTTTGTTTGATGTGATTTGCGGTGGGTTTTAGACACATGTCAGCGGTTGAAAACAGCCATCAGTTTTTTACTGCAAAACGCATGGTTTTCGCATGCCAAACCCGGCGCTTTTGATCTTTGCCGTTTTGTGGCGAAAACGCCACGCGTGCCGATGTCGGTGTTGCCCATTTGCGAGGTTTTTCGGAAGGCGCAACAACTTTAAGTGTAGATACAGTTTACAATGTTGGTGTTGGTCGTGGTCTTGGTCTAGGTGCTGTTGTTACTGCGATTATGAAGGGGCTCTATGGATTCTAGAACTTGTTCCTCTAGTGGTCAGCAAATGATAACCATAATAGTCATAGCATAGGGCAGTCATAAGTAGTCATGCTCACCATAGCCATCATCATAATCATCGTCATAACCATCATAACAAGCGTCACCATTCCCACCATCACAATCACCATCATCAGCATCAAAATGATGATCATTTCAGCATCGTCCGTCTTCAAACCCCCACTCGAAGCCAAAGGCTAGACACGCAACCCTGAGCCCGCCAAGTGCTGAGAAGAGACAGCGAGTTTTTGCAGCCTGCATGGATGCGGGGAACGGATGGGGTCTGAGTGGACGTTATCATAGTTCGAGCACAAGACAATGTTTGGACCTATCCACAAACTAACTAAATCACTAGCAGCCGCATCATTAACAGAAAGGATAACATGCGGATGCGGATGAGAGTTACATGGTTATAGTGTCCTGATGAAGTTGTTGCTTATACATACCCTAGACCCTAAACCGATACATACATATGATTTTTCATGCATGCATACATACTTACACTACAAAGTTGGTTCGTGTGTCTGTCGAGCGTCCGAAGCATCGGGACAGGGCCCTGTGCTAGTGAGCCTGGGCATCATCGACGACTTGGAGGCCGCGAATCTCCAAAAAGGCCGCAAGCTCCTGGCGCAGAGCCTCAAGAAGCTGCGAAGGAAAGAGGAGGTGGCCAAAATCGAGCAGGCTGGTCCGGGGAGGGTTCCGTGGGTTTGCGACCTGTTGCAAGCTCTCCGACCGGCGACTCGGTAGCCTGAGCAATCCTGCCATAAGAGCGGCTTCCGCGCAAGGAATTGCAGGCGCTACTGAAGTTGGCAGACTAGCCGAAGGAAAAGCTCCCGGGAAAGGGAGGTGTCCATACGTTCTTGCAGCATGTTGCCTTTGCGCCGAGGGGCTGTTGTCTTGCTCACGATGAGCTTTCTGGCCGCCCCCGGGCTTTAGCCAACCCGAACGGGAGTAGAGCACACGCACCCGAAGTATGACAGGTAGAACCAAGCTTTGATTCTTCTCATCACCATCCCTTCACTCGGTTCCAGTAGGTGTGACTTGGCGATCCTGCCATGATTCCTGATGGACTACTGGGGTCGGCCTTGGACAGCTGGCTGGCAGAAGCCACGCTTCCGCCTTAGGCTGCTTTCAGGGAACTTTCAGGTATTTGCCGATTCGCAAGGTTACACCCAACAGTCTTGGGGCTACGGCGGATACGAGGATGCGGAGCCTTCAGCACGAACGTAGGCGGACAAGTTCGAAGAGTCTGCCCGGAGGACCGGCGCGCAGCATGGAATTTTCAGCAGCTCGGGTCCCTACCAGGCTTATGTGTTGTGTTTTCTCTCACCGTGCAAATTTTCGCAAAGGGGCTGGCGGGAATCCTCGAGCTCCGGACGGTATGGCTGGGAGGCACCGCAGAGGGCACAAGTCAGGGCAAGCTTCGAGGCTTCGAGCGAACTCGACCTTGAGGAGCTTCGTAGTCGAGCTGTTCCCCCGCCGCCGAGACCGAGGACCACCCTCCAAAAACCTCAGCATCACTTACTAGCAGCAATTCATGCCTGCTCTCCTTCTTTGGAACCCTATAAACCCACTCAAACATCCCCAAAAAAGCCCCTAAACCCCGAAAAACCGGCACCCTGGGTCCCTTCGAAGGCAGCGGCTGCAAGTCCCCGAGCTGGACCTCTGCGGCCAGGACCGCGGCCACCTCCTCGAGGCGAGCCCCTTCTTTTCTCCGGGCAGCATAAAGAGACTGAGATAATGTAAATATAAATACACAAATAAATGGAGAAATTCGTTGTTATAATGTATGTCCATCCATACATACATACATACATACATACATACATACATACATACATACATACACACATATATATATATGTATATATATATATATCATAGTATGAGCATTAGCACTCTACTACAGTTAATGTG